ATTATTATGTCATTAGCTATGGTTTATGATATTTTTTTTTATCAAAATTTTTAATTGTCTGGATGTCGGGATTTTTGCTGTCATGATTTTTTTGTCGGGATTATGACCTGTCGGGATTTCGCTTGTCGGGATTTTGACCCAAACCCTTATTAAACATATCAACATTATTTAAAATTTTCACAGCAATTGAAATCGAAACTGTCATCTAAAATTCAAAAAAAAAGATAAATATTATTAAATTTAAATCTACATAACTAAATAATCATTAATAATTTATAATACCTTCAGCCTTTTTTTACCTCCATAATATCCAGATACAATCTTACCACCAACAGAATAAAAACCATCCCTCTCAAAAATAGCTTGAGCCTCAGGATCTCTATCACTAAAATTAATTGGTACAAATAAAACCATCTCAATCTTACTATCTTCACATCCAACTGGATATAAACCGACAGCCCATACAACAATTAAATTACTATCGTCCTTTGTCGTCTGACGAACATATTTTACTCTCACAATTGTATCTGCATAACATGGCATAGTGCTTTAATTAAATAAAGTATAAAAACACTAAATAAATCACCAAAAAAACAGCAAACCCTAAAAATAAAATCCTTTTATAAAAATTAACAAAAAAAAATTCCCAAAACGCCTGATATAACCCTACCAAAAAACTAGCATACAGTCAACAAAAAACAACGAATCAAAAAATAGCTAATGACATAATAATTAAATAAATCTTACGCAATAAAATCAATGCCACAATTAAACATTTTACGTCGAAATTACTTCATAAAATTACAATCAAAAAATACTAACAAATCCAAAAAACAACCATTTTTAATATACTCATTTACTAAGCCAATACAACGATTAAAACTACTACAAAAAGTGACTAAATTAAATTAAAAACATAAGATACTTAACTCATAACAAAGATAATTACTAACTCTAAACGCACAATACTTGCACTATAACTAATATTACACATATAAATAAAAGGTTTTCTAATTCTAAAGTAACAAACATAAATACTACCATTCTCATATATCCACGCACACAATACATAATACTTCAAATAAATAATTTATTATATAAAATCCGAACTCACTAAAATTTAAAAACTCCTAATTATATAACTACTAAATTAAAAATAACAAATATATTCAATATAAATAACGCATTAATAAACTATATTACAAACAATAATTTAAAATAAATATCACAAAAAATCAAAATAACAAAATTACCGATTTTCCTTTAACACCGCAAACATTCCAAACTAGAAAAAACAAAATATCTTAAATATGTTCCCCTAATATATCCTAAACACAATCACTTACAATCAAATAACTCAATTAAAATTAATTTACCATTCACACAATTAACTTACAAAAATTACATAACAATTAATTCTACAATTTTATTCACTGTTACTCTTCATAATCATGTTAAAAAATAACTATAAAACACACTCAAAACCCCAATACTTCAAACCATCCAACACCATAAATATACACCAAAAAAAACCATCATAAATCAAATTATCTAAATTTAATAATAAACACATAAAAATAATATAAAAAAATAAATAAAGACTTAATATTACACTAAAATAACTAAATAAGATGGGTGGCGCGAATGCGCCACCCATCGCACTAGTATATATATATTCGATACTCTCTGTACTTTCGTCACGTGACCCATGTGACATGCAGCGAGCGCACTACTCTCATAATGTTATTACATATATTTCTTAAATAAAGTAATCCAAGCGAGAATAATAAGATACAAAATAGGAAATAAGAAAATTTTATCAAATTTCCATTTATAGCATAACACTGCTCACGTTGTAAAAGTCGAATTATGCACTGGGTCTAATACAACTACACACTACTGTCACGCTTTTCTTCGAATAATCGTGACTTGTAGTAACGAGAACGTGTATACTGTAAGGAGGGGATGTGGCGAAGGCTTGGAAGTTTAGATTTATACAAATATTTATTTTATTCGTCATCTTTGTTTATTTTTATATCTATAGATTCTTTATATTTGTTTATCGTATGTTTGTTATATTGAGGCATAGAAGTAAGCTAAAGTTAACGTAGGAAGGTTAGTTACATAGAAAAGCCTTCGAAAGGTACCGACCAGTACCAAAGCTTAGTAAAGAGTCCCAGAAAAGTTAAGATAGTAAAGATAAGCCTGGTAAAAGGTCCTGGTCGGGCCCAACAAACAGAAGTAAGCCCAAGAATATGTAAAAGCCTTATTTTATGTATCTTGAAAGTATAAAAGAGCTGTCTTTTCGCTCTTCGAATAAAGCTCAGACTTCAATGTCGTTAATATAGGAGTATTAAGAATTGATTTCTCACGTGTTGTTATAAGTTTATTGTCGTATTGTTGTATCCATTGTTATTTCCCTTATTTTAACCGTTAAGATTCTTAACGATCGTATGATACATTTTGTCAGTACCTTGTTACCCGATTACCCTATTACTCTATTACCTTATTACCTTATAAGTATCGACCCTTAATATCGGTCATATTGATTAACTATCGATATTACTGATTTATTTAATTACGCTTACATAACTTGATTTATTTACCTGATTGATTACCGGTAGATATAATTAAGTGCCCCGATCACGGATTAATTACGTAACCTCACGTGTTTGAGATATTAC